GGGCTGTGCGCTTCGCTCGCTGCTGGCTCCGCCGCCGCCGCCGCCGCCGCCGCCGCCGCCGCCGCAGCCGCTGCCGCCTCACACACTCGGAGAGCGGGAGCGCGGCGCGGACGCGAAGCCGCTGAGGCTGCTGCGCCCAAAGCCAGCCGGAGCCGGAGCCGGAGCCGGAGCCTGAACCGCAGCGCCAGCCCGAGCCGTGCCGAGCCGCAGCCCGGGCCCGGGCCGGTGGTGGCTCATGGACTGCAGGGCCCGCGGCCGGCGCTGCCCCAAGGCGGGTAAGGATCCGGCGGCGGTGGAGGCGGCGGCGGCTCCCGGCCAGGAGCGGCCATGGCCGGCGGGAGCTGCGGGAGGGGCTCTCTTCGGAGCGAGGCCACCGGGGCCCTGTCGGTGTTCGGCGCGCCGGGGCAGAGGTGGGAGAGGCTGGGAGCTCGGAGTAGGGGTTGTGGCCGGGGCACCCTGGCCTCCACGGTGGCGAGAAGCCAAGCGAGGAGAGGTGCTGAAGCGGACCCCATCCTCGGCATCCCGCACCCCTGGACCCTTGGAGCGGCGGGGATAAGGGGACTCTACGAGCGCTCGGGATGGAGATGGTTTTGGGGAAGCGCGCAACCCCCAGTTGGGGAGGGGGGAAGCTCCCCGAGGACGAAGTAAGCAAGGACCCTCATCCACAACGCACACACACACTTGTTGGGCGACCAGCTCGGCTCACTCAGGCGCTTCCGCTCTTCGCGGGCACCCGGAGGGCCAGACCACGGACATATGTACACGCATACATATATCCGTACATACGTGCACACAGACATACCTCCCGCACACCAGCGCCCACTGGGGCACCGTCACTAGCTCAGAATCCGCTTCAGCGTCTGCACGTTCAAGCAGCACGGACACACAACCCGTGGCCATACCGAGCAACCGATCACAACCGGGTGTGACATTCGGACACACTAAGCACAATCCGGTGCCCTCATGTAGGAGTGTCACGGCCACAGTTCGCCAGATGAGCACTCAAAACCTAGCCTCACACACACATATTCCTTTAAGGAACACACCCTAACATAAATTATATTACCTACTCCTTGGCCAGAACATAGGTACACATCACAGGTCGGCTTGCACCCCTCAACTGAACCCACACAAACACAACCCAGTGTCTCAGCACACGTCTTGAAGGCACACACCCTAACACAGTAAGTGGCACCTGCAGCAGCGCCTCACGATCACAAACACAGAATCCACTGCTTCACATGTCTTAACAGTGGGTGTCACACACACGTTACACGAACAGTGTCACATTACACCTTGCAGCGTACACACAAACACACACGCTCTGTCCCTCTCCCTCGGAGGCCAGATTCCGCCAGGGAAAGCCGGGGACGCCAGGCGAGCCCCTAGCGCCCCCTCACCTTAATCACGACATTGTTATTGTAAATGTCGGCACAGCAGGAACCCTGGGGGCCGGAGGGACCGGCTTCCCCTGCCGGCGCCTCCCCCACCCCCACTCCGGGGCCGGGCGGGCCCGGCATTCCCGGAACGAGCTGGACCTGGCAGGCCGCGGCATCTCGCCTCCCCAGAGCTCCGGGGCCCTAGGTCCCTTTGCAGAGGGTGCAAGCCTGAGGCGGTATTTGCGACCCTCTTCGGACCACTTAGCCGCGTTCTCCGAGCCACCTGGGTCCCCAGCACACCTGTGTCCCTCTCACACCTGGGCGTCCCCTCCGCCGGGTCCCGGCTGCAGGCCAGAGTTCTGAGCGGACAAGGCCCTGGGGCCAGAAGGGAAATCGCGGCACCCGCAGGAGCAAAATTGGTAGGTGAGATGAACTCGCATCCCGATCCCCCAGCTACCCTGGTAGCCCAGACTTCTGGCCCCAGTTTCCCCAGTGATGGCGACTGTTCCTTCTAGCAGGAATTATTCGGGGCGGCCTTGAGGTCTTTGAGGATTGAGCGCGGGGCAAAGACCCATTTTTCGCCCGCCGCGAGAGTCGGTTTTATGAGAATGTCCCTGCCCGGCGGGGCTGGAGGCTTTGTGATTCGGGCGCTGTCTCCCTCCCCGCCCCCTCCCAGCGTCCGCAGAGCTGCTCCCGCCGACGCGGGCTTGCGGGGGACCCTACAGCAGAGGCCCGGGATGCGGAGGAAAAGAGATCGCCCGCGGCGGCCCTTGGGGCTGGGAGTGCAAGGGACCCGCTGGCCGAGGCGTGTTCTCACCGCGCCGCGCCCCGGCCTCGCCTGGAGTTCCACGAGGCCCGGGTACAGCCGGGGTGGGGGTGGGGCCGCCCGAGCCCTAGGATGGTGGAGGGACAGTAGCCGTCCCCGTCTTTCCCCACCCCCAACACGACTGCGTCCTCTGGGAGGAGACGCCCGGCGCGCTGGGTGTGTGCGGGGAGCGCCCGCTGACCACCGCGGTGTAGACGGGGCTGCCCTGGCCGGCAGAGTCCTGGACGTTCCAGAAAACGCAGGGAGCCTTCCATTACCTGCTCTGGGCCAACCCTCCTTTGCTGCCAGGAAAGAGGGCACCCAGAAGGTGTTTGTGACAGTCCAGGGGTATGGGTGTTCGGAAGGGTAGAGTGTTACTTTCTTGACGAAGGGGCCTGGAAGGATTGAAATCTGTAATTACAACTAGGCCAGGGCATGGGGTGGAATCGAGAGGAGAGGGATGAGAAGGCCCTCCAGAGATGGCCAGGGACAGTGTGGGAGGGGAGCAGGTCTGGTTGCCCCACTCTCTCTGCCCCCAATTCCAAAAGGGACTTGAGCTGGAAAGGGGTGCCATACTGGTCTGGCTGCCACTGTGGCTGCTGCTTCAGGGGAGCTGGGCTAGAGAGAGAGCTAACTGCTGGGACGAGTGGGGGTGGAAGGTCCAGGAGAGGGCCTGCAAGGGTGGGGGTGTGGCTGAATGGGAACCAAGGCTGGGGGAGAGGAGATGGAAGAGGCCTGATACAGGGCGAGGGCTGCCCCTACCATGAACAAGGATAGCTGGTGCTGCAGAGAGAGATTCTTTCAACAATGTATTGAGCACCTACTATCTGCCAGGGCCCATGGTGGGTGGTGAGAATGCAACACATAGTGACATACATGCCATCCTTGCCTTCATAGGTCTTGCTAGTTAGCAGGGGATTGGTTTGTCTATTTATTGAGCACTTACTGTGTGCCTAGTGCTGGGAATAAAATGCTCTTATTTGGTGATTGAAAGATATAGTATGTATCCCCTTTACAATGTTATAGACTTGAAGGCATCAGATCTCATTTAATCCTCCCAAATAACTTCAAGAGGCAGGCTTTATTATTTCCATTTCACAGCATGGAAATAGGTTTAGAAAGGTGAAGTTACTTTACCAAGGTCACACAGCTAGGAAGTGGTGGAGCAAGGGTTTGGACCCTGACAATCAGACTCAAGAATGCAGGTGACTAGAAGCCAAGCAGAGACGGCTGTAGAAAAGAAGGGCGAGAAGCTGAGGGCTTGCACTTGTTCACCCTGGGAGGCCTCTGAACAGCTCCACTCGACTGCCCTGCTTGCTTGCTTACCCTCCTCTCCCAGACATTAACTTTGTCCTTTGGTGTTTTGTGCTGACAATGTCGGTGGTGGCTGGTGTGTGTGTGTGTGTGTGTGTGTGTGTGTGTGTGTGTGTGTATAGGATCCAGGGCTGACCCTGTCACTGGGATACTGATAGCTGCCTCTGTGTGTTTCCTCTGTGGCCACAGCATTTATCAAGAAGTGGACCATGGTCTCTGAGGTGGGCTGGAAATGAAGGTTCCAGGTGAACCCTCACCACTGTCCCTCCCCCCCCCAGATGTTGACACAGATGGTGTTTGCCTTGGTCTTTCCTAATCTCTGCCCCCTCACACCTCACTGTACTCCTTAGGCCTGGAAAGGATGAGTCAGTGTCCCTGCTGAGACTCTGGCCTCTCAGGATTCTGGGTGCCCATGTCACTAGCAAGAGGTGGGGACGCCCTTACCAGAAAGGCAGCCGGGGTTTGGGGAAGGCAGTTATGTCACTAACTGCTTCGCTGCCATCTGTGACTAATTACTCGCAATAGCCAACCACCAGGACAAAGTTCAGGGGTGGCGGGAGCAGGGCTGAGAAAGGCCGCCTCACTGCTGCTCTGACTCTCCCTGCATCCTTGGGGGCCCTGAAGCAGCCTGGGAAGCCTGGGGTCCTTCAGTCCTTGAACCCTAGGCCCTCTCTTTCTCTTTCCCTCCTTGTCTGGCAGGTTTGGCCTCCCAGAGACAGTGGAAGGGGATGGGGGGCACATAGCAAATATATTCTAGCCTCTGTGGGTGATTTCTGTTGATTTCCCCTCCCCCATCCAGCCTTTCCCCAGACTTGGGGATGTGAAATGGCATTCTTCTTTCTCAAATCCTGACTTCTGCGTACTGCTTCTGTGACCTAAGACAATTAATGATTCTTTTTTGAGCCTCAATTTTATCATCTGTCCTATGGGGAGTGGTGTGATAATAAATAGTACTCATTTCAGAGGGTTGGGAGGATTAGAAAAAATAATGCATGTAAATGTAGTACAATCTCAGGGATTGTTAGCTGGGACCTAGTGATGACAGTGGTGATGATGATGGTAAAGTTGGTGATGACAGAGTTGGCGCTTCTTTCTTAACTCCTAGGACCTAGTGTATTTCAAAAGTTGTTTCCAGAAGGTCAGGACCGTTGCTTCCTGCTGCCTGGGGATTTCTCCCATCCCGCTCCAGTATCAGAATTCCTAAGGGTGGGGCCAGACAATCCTTATTGTAAACGAACTCTCCAGGTGCTTCAAGGACCTAAACCCTCTTCAAGTCTTGCCCCTACTCTGGGTACCCTCCCCCAGCCTCATTCCCCCCCCCCTCCCCAAATTCCTCCTACCTCCTAGGAACTTCCCTCCCCCACACCTTCCTTGCCTTGGCTATTCCTCTGTGGTTCTCTTTCCAACTCAGAAGTTTGATACCAGCCCTTTCCTGGCTCCTCTGATGGCTAGAGGTAAGGGATCTCTTAAGAGTTGAGGTCGGGAGGTGGAGGGTGGGCGGGAGGTGGTGGGGGTGGGTCACAGCATGTTGTGTTTGTGCTGCCTGGGAGGCCTGAGGGATCAGAGCCCTGGGTTGTGACCCCAAATCAAAGTCACCCTGACTCTGCCAGGCCACAGACCTCTGAATTTGTACCCCAAATTTATGAGCTTTCATATTTCTTGGGAAAATCTGCACCATGGTTTCATAAAATCTGCACCATAGATGTGACCCAAAAAGCTTAAGAATCCTTGATCTGGAGAGAGTGAGTAGAGGCAAGGAGTCGCTGCCTAATTTCTCCTCTTTGTCAGGGTTAGGGTAGTTCCCGGTAACCCTTACCCTGCCAAGACTTATGCACAGAATTGGTGCACACAGTGGTCCCATGTTGTGCGTGTGCTAAGGGGTGAGGGCAGGATAATGTAATGTGCCCAGAAGGGAATGAGGTTCTTTGGAGACAGGTGTGTTTGGGTTGGGGCATGATGGTAAGATGAGCCTTGTGCCAGGTCCACGCAGGTCTAGAGGGGAAGTGGCTGGAGGGTGGATCCAAATCGAGCATCAGATACATTCTTACTTCCTTTAAAGAGATTAAGATTGCAGCTAGGAACAAACACACACTAATCTGATAAGGGCCTCCAATACTTGGAGCACATTCTGAGGAGTGACCAGGGAGCTGGGCTGGCTGTGCTTTGGGCAGGCTACATGGAGCAAGTGAAGTGTTTGACTTGTGTGCTTAAGGAATATGTGTGTTCAGTAAGCACTTGCTGAGAATCTACTATGGACCTAAACAGAGAAGGATTAAATTGACCCCAGCAGGTTCTCAGTAGGGGAAATGGGCAAGGAAACAAGCAAGGACCACACCGAAAGTGCCAGGGTAGTAATCAGTTATTCAGGAGCTCTCATTGAGCACCTATTGTATGCCATGTCCAGGACTGTGTGTGTGATGGGGGGGGGGTCTTGAGGATTTAGGAGTTAACAAAGCAGAGGCTCTCCTGTAGGAGGAAAGACAAAATAATTCATAGATTATTTTCCAAGCAACTACATAACTACAAATGTAAGTACTTTGAGGGGCATTTGTTTGAGTACTCACTGTGCTAAGCATTTAGCCCACATGACTTCAAACTCCCTAGGAAATAGGGAGTATTATCCCCATTTTACAGAACAGGAAACTGAGATTCTAAATCATTTGCTCCAGCTCATGCAGCCAGGAAGTAGGCAGCCAGGGTTTGCCTCAGACTGTTTGATGTCATAGTCCCTGCTCTTGTCTGCCCTGCTGCCTGACATATGCCAAATGGGTACAATCAAACAAAAGTGACAGATAATCATTGAGTTAGAACCATTGTCAGCCCCACGATGGCAGATTGCATCTGTCCTGTTCGCTGCTGTGTCCCAGTGCCAAGACAAAGCCTGGCACATTGTAAGTGCCCAATAAATGTTCATTGAATGCATGAATGAACATCTACAGTGTGCCCAGCTTTGTGAAGGAGCAAGGGTGGGGATCAGTATAGGGAGCCCTGTCCTGTCCTTCGGGAATGTTTGGCATTTGCCTGGAGAGGCAGAGAACGCAAGAATAGGTGCCCAGTACTGGAGGTGAAGAACATAAGCGGGCGGTGTCCCAGGCAGCACAATGATTCATTGCAGCGGGACTGGGGCAGACAATAAGTGGCTGTGAGTTGGAGGAAGGAGAGGTCACTGTGGGCTGGAGAGGCCTGGGGAGGATTCCTGGGGGCCAGAGCCTGCCTTTAGTGGGACGAGTGTGGTCTGTGACAGAGCCTGGGGTGGGATTTTTCAGGTATGGGACAGGTGTTCTAGGTGCAAATGGGGAGGTGGGGAAAGGAGATAGAACCTGAGACCTTTGCTGAAAATTCTGGGCCAAAGACTTTGGATTTGAATCGAGGGGCTGGCCATAGTCTTGTTGGAAAGGAGGATGAAGACAGGAACAGTATAGTAGCCGGCAGGTCGGGCTGGGGTCAGCAAATGCACAGCCTCAAAGCTGGGGGAGATGGGCAGAAGAAGTGGGTCATTTGTGGTGATGGGAATGCAGCTTGTGGTTGGCTAGGGCATACAGGACTCTAATTGGAAAGATTTGAGGGTGAGCAGGGAGAGATGAGACTGGACCCATTAAAGGGGGAGGGTCCAGGTGTGAAATAGGGGCTAGATGTTTGTGAGGAAAGGGATCAAATAAGAGCCAGAGGGGCGGCCGGTTAGCTCAGTTGGCAGTGTTCATAACATCAAGGTTGCGGTTCAATCCCCACATGGGCCACTGAGTTGCACCCTCCGCAGCTATGATTGAAACAGCCACTCGGCTTGGAGCTGATGGGGCCTGGAAAACCACACTGTTCCCCAATAAAATTAAATTTAAAAAAAATAGGAGCCAGATGTTGAGAAACTGTGAGCAGGGGCAGGGGGGCGTGGTCGGGGAAAGGCTGGTAGTGTCATTGGCAGCTCCGTCCCAGTTAGACCTGCTGGGCTCCTGGTTACTAAGGACAGGCCAGGGCAGCTCCCAGTTCCAATTCCAGGGCTAGTCAGTCCTGACCCCAATCTTGACGTCTACTCTCTTCCATACACCTGCTGGTATCTTGACCTCTAGTCTCTTCCATACACCCCCCCACCCCACCCCGTGCCCCTGCCAACTCCAGTGGAAGGCAGAGAGGAAGTGGGAAGGAGCCCGGGGAACTATGTATGCGCACACCGAAGTTCGCGCTCAGGGGCATGTGTGTTGGGCAGGGGTGGAGGTTGGGGAGGGCTAACACCTACTCCTCAACCCTGGTGTCAGGCCTTGATGGGTATCCAGTTCAAGCTGACCCTTCATGGGGGTGGGGGACATTGGGTATTATGGGTGATTTTTGTCAGACCAGGGATTTGAGATGTCATATCTCATACAAAAACACTGACTTGGCATCTCAGAAGGGAAAGAAACAAGACATCATCCCCTCTCCCTCCAGCCAACTTGAGTGTACCTCAGTGTGGCGAGTAACGATCTGGGGTGTGGGGAGTCTAAGGGGTACCTGTGCATCTTTCCTACCATGTGTGTTGGGGGTGCTCCAAGCCTCACCCTTCCACCAGCTGCCTGTCTCTATCCCAGTATCAGGGTAATTACCATGGGTGACTAAGGCAGAATGCTGGTGAGAAGGAGGTGTTGAGCAAAGCACTGAGAAGAGAGCAGGGAGGGAAGGAGGGAGTGTCAGCAGGTCAGGGCGTTCCATGGGCGGGAGCTACTCTAGACCTTTCCAGGTGCCTTCCTGGCTCCCCCAGCTAGGGCAGACACAACTGCTACACCCAGCTGTGGGTGAGACACAGGCTTCTGGGGTCTGGAATCAGGGTTCTGTGCTGGGGCTGAGCTCTGCTTGTGGGAGAGTAGCGTGTAGGCGGAAGAGGGAAAATGGGAGTCTGACTCAGGGCAGCTCTCAGGACAGATTTCTTCTCCTAGCTGATCCCCTGTTTTGCCTCTACCCCTTTCAGCCCTTCTGATTCTGGAGCCTGCCAGGATGGGGTCCCCGAGGTCCAGCCAAGGTCCTGGGGGGCAACAGTTACTGCTGCCCCCCTTGCTGCTGGCACTGCTACTCTTGCTGGCCCCTTCTCCTGGCCATGCCACTCGGGTGGTGTACAAGGTGCAGGAGGAACAGCCACCCAACACCCTCATCGGGAGCCTCGCAGCTGACTACGGTTTTCCAGATGTGGGCCACCTGTACAAACTAGAGGTGGGCGCCCCGTACCTGCGGGTGGATGGCAAGACTGGCGACATCTTCACCACCGAGACCTCTATCGATCGCGAGGGGCTTCGTGAATGCCAGAACCAGCTCCCTGGTGAGCCCTGTATCCTGGAATTTGAGGTGTCTATCACGGACCTCGTGCAGAATGGCAGTCCCCGGCTGCTTGAGGGCCAGATAGAGGTACAGGACATCAACGACAACACACCCAACTTCGCCTCACCGGTCATCACACTGCCCATCCCTGAGAACACCAACATCGGTTCACTCTTCCCCATCCCAGTGGCTTCAGACCGGGATGCTGGCCCCAATGGTGTGGCATCCTATGAGCTGCAGGCTGGGCCGGAGGCCCAGGAGCTATTTGGGCTGCAGGTGGCAGAGGACCAGGATGGGAAACAGCCGCAGCTCATCGTGATGGGCAACCTGGACCGGGAGCGCTGGGACTCCTATGACCTCACCATCAAGGTGCAGGATGGTGGCAGCCCCCCGCGTGCCAGCAGTGCCCTGCTGCGGGTCACTGTGCTCGACACCAATGACAACGCCCCCAAGTTTGAGCGGCCCTCCTACGAGGCTGAGCTGTCAGAGAACAGTCCCATAGGCCACTCGGTCATCCAGGTAAGTGGCCCCTCCACTTCACTGGCAGGGTGATTCACCTTTAGAAATGGGAACCCACCCTAACCTGGTGGGAGTTCCCATCATTTAGGGGGGAAAACTGCCAGGATACTGGGGTGAGACCTGTTGTCCCTAGCCCCAGACCAGTGAACCTTCCCACAAGCCCCACCCCACCCCAGCAGGTGATATAATTTTCCTCTATCAAGCTACTTCAGTGATAGTGATATAGCATGTAGACATGAATCCCCCACCCCCAAGGCAGACTCAAGTTGGAGAGATCTCTAAGAAGTAAAACCCCTTCCAAGTCCCCCACCCCACTGCCCCCAGCCACGTAAGCTGAGCTGGGACTAGGGAATCACCTTTTGTCCAGGTAGAATCTCTCCAGAGATGAGAGTATCTTCCCAACCAGGGGCCCTTTAGCCAGATGAGATTTTCCTGAAGCTAGAGGTCAGAGCCTTACTTTGCCCTGCTCCTTGACAAAGTCAGATGAGATCGTGTTAGCCAGGTGAGTCCTCAGAGTTCTATAATAGAAAGCTGTACTCAGATGTCTGTATACTGGCTTCCTCCACTAGGCACAGGGTGCCCATGGGTGTGGGGTGCATGGCACAGTGGGGGGTCGGTTGCCACTGCAGAAGTTCTCAGCACCCTTCTCCATGGGAACTGCCCCAGGGGCTGGGCAGCTTGGTAGGGCCGGGGCCTGGGAGGGAGCAGAGAAAGCGTCCCTGCAGACAGGTGGGTGTATCTCCCGCTGTCATCTCAGCCCTGGCCTCCTGCCAGCCTCAGCTCCTTTCTCCTTCCCCATGGGCTGAAGCTGTCTGTCTTTGATATGAGGAAGCTGAGGAGGGTTCAGCCTGCCCTGGACACCGTTACCTGTCCTGGGAAACCCTTCGTCCTACGTCCTCAAACTGAAATGGGGCATGGGGAGGAGTTTCAGGCCTTTTTTTAGAGGCTGGTGGACTGGAACCTATAGAAGACAGACTGAGAAAGAAAAGGGAGACAGACAGTCGGGGGTAGCGAATAATAATAATAGCCTAGATGCCAGGACTGCTCTAAACACATTATGTGTATTATATCATTTAATCACCACAGTACAAGGTAAGCATTATCCCCATTTGACAGACGGGAAACTGAGCCCGTAGCGATTAGGAGACTTGCCTGATAGCCAGCCTATGTGTTCAGATCCCACCTTGGCCATGTCCAACAGCCTGGCTTCAGAACCTACGTGTTTGTACCAGCTACACCCTTCCCAGTGGGGTGAAGCAGGAGTGTGGGGCAGACACGAGGCTAGAGGTAGACAGGGCAGCAGAGAGGATGGGAGAGAACTGGCAGTGTAAAGAGGCGGAAAGAACTGAACGAGGATGGGAGGGAAACAGAGACAAGTCAAGAGTCCTGAACAGAGACAAAGGGAGGTGAGATGTCAAGAGAAGCAGATAAGAGCTGGGTGACACATTTAGCGAAAGGAAAACAGTGGGAATCATAATGAAAAAGTTGGGGACAGATAGATTGGGGGGGGGTAGAGGGAGGAGGAGAAACTGTTCGGCCTTCACAGGGCTGAGAGTTTGACTCACAGGGGTGAGCAGAGACCAGTGTAGCTGGGAACCCCTGCCCAGCTGTCTCCACTGTCAACAAAGTCCTAGCAGGAGGGAGAGGAGACAAAAAAAAGAAAAAGAAAGGAGAGGAGATTAGCAGTGGCTTGAGAACCCATTAGGCGTGGTGCTCAGCACTGTGTTAGCACTGATTTCCAGAGATGGACAGGGATGGATGGATGGATGGATGGATGGATGGATGGATGGATAAAAAGAGGGTTCAATGCTATTAAAGGATCACTTGCCACATGCCAGGCAGTGTTAGGCATTTACACATATTATTTCGTTTAATCCTCACCACAACCCCATAAAATAGGTTCTATTGTTATCCCCGTTTTACACACTTGTAGACTGAGGCTTGGGGAGGTTAAATACTGGCCCAAGGTCACATAGTTGGGAAGTGGGAGCTGGGACTTGAGCAGGACCCTTCCGTTCTGCTCCCCAGAACGCTCCCAAATTATGCCTACCCCATCTGCCCCCCTCAACCTCAGCCTGCCATCACATCCTGTCTGGCTGTGATGGAACTCCAGCCCTCATATTTCTCCCTGACCACTGATACCTCATGGCCATTTCCACCTCGTTCCTGTTGCCCCATTACCACCCATGTTTGTATAGAGTTGGGCTGAGTGTGCGTCGGTCGAGTGTGCATCGGTTGGCATGGGAGGGTGTGCGCACTGCAAAGGGACAGACAGTTCATTGTTTGATGCTGGGAGCCCAGCCCGCTGTCAGCAGGCTCTGTGGCCTGCACCAACCCCTCCCTCCTGGCCACAGGCTCTGCTGGATTCCTCAAGTTGGTGCCCAGCCAGCGCCAGCCCAGCTGGGAGGGGAAGAAGCTGCTGAAACAGGTTTCCCCGGTTTGACAGAGCAGTGGCCTCACGGGCTCCCTCTGACCCACATCCCTACCTGGCTGCTTTCAAAAGAAATTCCCTCACCTGTGGCCTCCAGGTGGACTTGTGGGTGTCCACTCATGTGCAAACACACATGTGCACAAACACATATACCGTCTCCCACAATCACACATAATCACAGCCTCGCACATGTGTATGTATATGCATACGTGTTATACTCACATGCATACACACCGTCTCTGCTGCTCACACTTTCTAGCTGTTCAGAAGGGTTGAAGGCCAATTTATTGGTTGTCGGAAAAGTCATGACGCATTTTTGCAACGAAAATCATAGAAAAAATATGTCATGACTTTTCTGACCACCCAATCCTTGGGTGGAAGGGCTGTACTAGTTGGACAATCGGACCCTCATCCCCACGTTTGGGCAGACTAGTGTAGGAATGATAAGTAGAATGTAGCTCTGCCCTGCCCCATCTCTATCCCATCTCTAGTAGTTGCTTATAGCACTGGTGAGGAGTTCCAGGCTGCACCTACACTCTTTAGGGAAATATTATAGATCAGTAATATGTGCCACCATATCAGGATCGGGAAAAGGGCAGCACATGTGCTGCTTTTGAAAAGGGCGCTGTGTTAGATCAGTCGTGTCTGCCACGCTCATTGGGAAGGCACCACATATATCCCTTAATTTGCTATCCCAGCCTAACCCATCCCTGTTTTCCTTGTTTTTCTCCCCTGCCATGTAGGTGAAGGCCAATGACTCAGACCAAGGTGCCAACGCAGAGATCGACTACATGTTTCACCAGGCGCCTGAAGTGGTGAGGCGTCTTCTGCGACTAGACAGGAACACCGGACTTATCACTGTACAGGGCCCTGTGGACCGTGAGGACCTAAGTACCCTGCGCTTCTCAGTGCTTGCCAAGGATCGAGGCACCAACCCCAAGAGTGCCCGTGCCCAGGTGGTGGTGACTGTGAAGGACATGAACGACAACGCTCCCACTATTGAAATCCGGGGCATAGGGCTGGTGACTCATCAAGACGGGATGGCTAACATCTCGGAGGACGTGGCAGAGGAGACAGCTGTGGCCCTGGTACAGGTATCTGACCGAGATGAGGGAGAGAATGCAGCTGTCACCTGTGTGGTGGCAGGTGATGTGCCCTTCCAGCTACGCCCGGCCAGTGAGACAGGAAGTGACAGCAAGAAGAAGTACTTCCTGCAGACCACCACCCCACTTGACTACGAGAAGGTCAAAGACTACACCATCCAGATTGTGGCCGTGGACTCTGGCAACCCCCCACTCTCTAGCACCAACTCCCTCAAGGTGCAAGTGGTGGATGTCAATGACAACGCACCTGTCTTCACCCAGAGCATCACTGAGGTCACCTTCCCGGAAAACAACAAGCCGGGCGAAGTTGTGGCCGAGGTCACTGCCAGTGATGCTGACTCGGGCTCCAATGCTGAGCTGGTTTACTCTCTGGAGCCTGAGCCAGCTGCCAAGGACCTCTTCACCATCTCACCTGAGACTGGAGAGATCCGGGTGAAGACATCCCTTGATCGGGAACAGCGGGAAAGCTATGAGTTGAAGGTGGTGGCAGCCGACCGGGGCAGCCCTAGCCTCCAGGGCACAGCCACTGTCCTTGTCAATGTGCTGGACTGCAATGACAATGACCCCAAGTTTATGCTGAGTGGCTACAACTTCTCAGTGATGGAGAACATGCCGGCGCTGAGTCCAGTGGGCATGGTGACTGTCATTGATGGGGACAAGGGGGAGAATGCCCGGGTACAGCTCACAGTGGAGCAGGACAATGGTGACTTTGTTATCCAGAATGGCACAGGCACCATCCTCTCCAGCCTGAGCTTCGATCGGGAGCAGCAAAGCACCTACACCTTCCAGCTGAAGGCAGTGGATGGTGGGGTCCCACCTCGCTCAGCTTATGTTGGCGTCACTATCAATGTCCTGGATGAGAATGACAATGCGCCCTTTATCACCGCCCCTTCCAACACCTCCCACCGGCTGCTGACCCCCCAGACACGTCTTGGTGAGACAGTCAGCCAGGTGACAGCTGAGGACATTGACTCTGGTGTCAATGCTGAGCTGACCTACAGCATCGCTGGTGGCAACCCTTATGGACTCTTCCAGATTGGGTCACATTCAGGTGCCATCACCCTGGAGAAGGAGATTGAGCGGCGCCATCATGGGCTGCACCGCCTAGTGGTAAAGGTCAGTGACCGCGGCAAGCCCCCACGCTATGGCACTGCTTTGGTCCACCTTTATGTCAATGAGACCCTGACCAACCGCACGCTGCTGGAGACTCTGTTGGGCCACAGCCTGGACACTCCGCTGGACATTGACATTGCTGGGGATCCGGAATACGAGCGCTCCAAGCAGCGTGGCAACATCCTCTTTGGCGTGGTGGCAGGTGTTGTGGCCGTGGCCTTGCTCATCGCCCTGGCAGTGCTTGTGCGCTACTGCCGGCAACGGGAGGCCAAGAGCGGCTACCAGGCTGGTAAGAAGGAGACCAAGGACCTGTATGCCCCCAAGCCCAGCAGCAAAGCCTCCAAGGGCAACAAAAACAAGAGCAAGAAGAGCAAGTCCCCGAAGCCCGTGAAGCCAGTGGAGGATGAGGATGAGGCCGGACTACAGAAATCCCTCAAGTTCAACCTGATGAGCGATGCCCCTGGGGACAGCCCCCGCATCCACCTGCCCCTCAACTACCCGCCGGGCAGCCCTGACTTGGGCCGCCACTACCGCTCTAATTCCCCACTGCCTTCCATCCAGCTGCAGCCCCAGTCACCCTCAGCCTCCAAGAAGCACCAGGTGGTGCAGGACCTGCCACCTGCAAACACATTCGTGGGCACCGGGGACACCACGTCCACGGGCTCTGAGCAGTACTCCGACTACAGCTACCGCACCAACCCCCCCAAATACCCCAGCAAGCAGGTAGGCCAGTCCTTGCGGCTCAGCACACCCCGGCCCCCACCCCACCCCTACCATGGGGCCATCTGGACTGAGGTATGGGAGTGACAGAGCAGGTGTATCGGGCCTGCGCACTCACCAGCCCACGTGGGGGCCGGTCCAAGCCAATGGTGGGATGTGGGACCAAAGATCTGGGAATGCTGGGGCCCTGGTAATGCCCCTGCTGTGTCATCTAAGCATGGAGGGTTAGGCGGAGTGAAAATTGAGGGAGGGTGTGGTCGCCGCCTCCTGCTCCCTCCTCACTGGGAGAGGCCTGTGACTTGTTAAATCCCTGGACTGCTGGGTCTTACAGGTGGGGGCTGATGGGCAGGTGAGCAGAAGAGCTTGGAGGCAGAGGGGGGTGGGAAGTGGAGATGAAGTCTACTCCTAACCTGGATCTCTATCTGAGACCAACCATGGTGCTTCTCTAAAGGGAAACAGGGAGACCTGATGGGTAACTGGGTGGGGACTCTGTCAGGGAGGGGACCTCCCCATTTGTGCCTTCTATGTGTACTGTGTGTCACCCTCTTCCCCACCCCAGGCTCCTGGGGCTGGGCCCCAGTTTCCCGGCCCCAATCCCAAACACTTATCTTTGACAATAAAGTTCTCTATTTTTGGAGTTTTGGCTTCTTATTTTCCTGGAACTGAGAGAAGGAGTGAGAGAGACTGGAAACAGCCCTTTTTCCTTAAGTCCTGACCCAATTTTCCCATCCCTTCTTTCTGTCCCTTCCCATATTCTTGACTTGCCCCTCTACCCCAATCCTATCTTAATTTACCATCTTCCCATCACCCCCTTGTCTGTGTCTGGGGAAAGTGCCCTTCTGAGCAGCCTTCAAATGGAAGTGTCTGGCAACATGTCCCCTCACCCCATGTTTGAGGCCTTCTCCCTAGGAATGACACCCTTCACCAAGAAAGGGCAGGTGGAGGTGCATCCAAGTTCTGCCCTTTCTCCACTGGCTGAGATTTGACCTTGCAGACCTGCCCACATTGAGCAGCCTCTGACAGAACGCAGACTAGAGCACCTAGTGGGGGTGGAATGTAGCCTGCCTGCCTCAGGTGAAGGCAGAGAACCTCTTGATTATACCAGCCACCTTCCCTCAGGGAAAGATCTTCCCAAGTCCCTTTCCCAGCCTCTTGATCCCAACACCACTCAACACCCAGCAATTAGCTGACCCTGCCCTGTGTGTCCTGCCATGATCAGATCACCATCCTGGGCTGCCAGGAAGGAGGGCCCAGAGAGAGAGAGGAGGGAATCTCCAGGCCCTTTGGATTGACCTGCTCTGTACCCCCACTCTTAGAGTGCTCCCTGCGAACTGGGGCTGAAGCACCCTAGTCCTGCCCCCTTCCTTCCCTTCCTTCAGCTCCTTGCTCTGGCCACCTGGGCTGCTGGCTCTCATTCTCTCTCTCTCCATCTCTCACTTCTTGCTCTCTTGAGTCTGCCCTGTCTCTGGCTGTGCTTAAGTGGGAGGGGGCTAAAGTCTGGATGTAGAGCCTTAGGTCCTAGGTAAGTCTCTGAGGCCAGAGGCAACCTGACTCCATGGCAACTGAAGAGGCCTGAGATACTCCCATGAGGTCCACGGCGCCAGCTCTCTACTCTGACTTTGTCCACAAACTCCCCGATATGTGTGTGTGTGTGGTGGGGGGTAGCTCCAAACTAAAAACTCCTGGGGGCTTTGGAGCAGTGGCACATGGGGAAGTGAAATCTAGTTGCATTGTATTTCTCCTGGACCAGTTAGCATCTCCAGGGTGACCTCCAGCAATTCCTGACCAACCATTCTTTCTCTTTTGTTCCTAACCTGCTGCCACCAGCTCTTCTATTCCTTTAGGTCCTTCATCTCTTTCTTTCCCCCGGGGTCTAAAGGATTATCCTTTACTTGGCTTCAATCCAACCTATGCATGCAGCCATATTGAATACCTCCTCCCAACATTCGGAACCAACCAAACCACAACACCATTGTCATCACCGAAATGCAAAGGCTGAGTTCCTACTGTATGCTCAGCATGATACTAGACCTTGAGGAAAAATGGCCACATTTGTATAAGACATACAAGTGAAAAGATGAGGCAATTGAAAATCTTAAGTGTCGAGTGAGCTGTGCATAGCAAAACTTTTCCCAACTTGTCCCACTATTACTTTTGCTACTACTCACTTCCCCTTTTTTAAAAAAAGTTTTTATTAGGTGCAAGCAGTTTATGTGAATTAGCTTATTCAATGCTCATAACTCTTTGTAACGTAAGTCATTATAATGCTCATTTTAAAGAAGTGAAAACTAGTTGGCAATGAAGTCAGCATTCAAACACAAAGCATCAGGTAATCTGTTTTCCAGAGTCTGCTGTTAACCATTATGCTATAAAAAAGGCATTCCATGATCAAGTTAGTTTTGGTAGTAAGAGCTACACTATCATATTGGCCTGTTAAAGACTCTACGAAGCCTGCAAGAAACCTGGTATAACTCAGGGTTTTCCAAATTTATTTAACCATAGTGCCCCCTCCCTTTCTTTGAGGAACACAGTATACGGAAACCTGGATAGGACATGGAAGTGGGCTCCTTTCAGGAAGATATGAAACTTGAGCCTGTTCTTCAATGATAAGCAGGCGATGGGAAGGAGGTTCACCCTGTGAGCCAAATCCTGAGGCAGGAGTGAGCATACCCAAGTTGAGGGCAGGGGAAGGGCAGAAAGGGGAGTATTCTAGCTGGAGGGGAGGGTATAGGAGAGAGATGAGACGAGAAGAACTAGGTTGTAGAGGACACAGATGCCTTGCCAAAAGCTCCTTAAGAGGAAATGGGAACCCCAGAAAACTCATGAGTTTTGGATGAACTCAGTTCTAGAAAGTTCACTGGAGTGTATGGTCGACTTACATGTAGTAGAGATGAAGGTACAGGATTGAAACTGTATGGTCTGAACTAAGATGGTGGCAATAGGGATGATGAATTGATAGATTTGACTGAACTTAGGGATAAAAGACCCCCAAGACTCCAGGGATAACTGGATATGGGGTAGGTATGGGGACTGAGGGGAGAGCTGCCAGGATTCCCAGGTAGATAGACATCATCCTTCTAAGTCTGGATGATGGGTTAGTGATGAGATCATTGCCCGTGCACAAGCTGATTGAAGAAAAAGAGTTTGACTTCAGATATATATCTGAAGGGCCAATAGGGAGAGCCAATTGGAAATATCCAGCAAGTGTCTAGACCAGCAGTTCTCAACCTTAATGCCGCGACCCCTTAATACAGTTCCTCGTGTTGTGGTGACCCCCAACCATAAAATTATTTACGTTGCTACTCTATAACTGTAATTTTGCTACTGTTATGAATCGTAAAGTATCTTTTCGTTTTCCGATGGTCTTAGGCGACCCCTGTGAAAGGGTCGTTCGACCCCCAAAGGGGTCGCGGCCCACAGGTTGAGAACCGCTGGTCTAGAACTTCAGGACTAGAGTTTGAGAGAACATTTGGATCTAGGCTTTTAAAGATTTAATAGTATAGAATTAAAGGGAACGTTTGGTATTGAGTCTGACCCAACCATCCATTTTACAGAAAAGAATCAGGAAAAAAAAGCACCAAGTGACGTGCCTAGTGGGCAGGACTGAAGCCTTAGATTACCAAGTCCAGGTTCTGCAGGGAGGAAGCGCTGCTGGCTAATGTCTTGAAAGAAAATTCAAAAGAGAAGTACCCTACAAGCAGACTGCCCTGTGCACCCCCAAACCCCTCCTGGAGTCTGTTCACCCAACACCAGGAGGACGATGCTTCTTTACAACCTCTCAGCCCCAAGTGTCCAGGTCAATTTGGGACACCTTGTCTGTCATCACTCAGATCCTTAAGGGTTTTGGATCACAACATGGATGCCAAGAAGGGTTACCTCTTTTCCCGAAGATGGGGTGGGAGCCAAGATGGGAAGCCAGTTCCGCTCCACAGCTGCTTGTCCTGACAGCCTCCCCCACTCCAACTACCTTAAATGGGTTGGAAACTGGGGGGGGTATCAGGAAGTAGGTCTATAATCCCAGAACCACCTCTTCTGGCCATCTTGATAACCACCTGTTGAGGGTTTTAGGGGAAAGACAACCCGTCAAAAAAGTCTTAGAGGATTAGAGGGAAACTGGAGCCTCATCAGCAGGGCCCTGGGTTTGCACCCTCCATAACTCCTAATTTCCGGTTGGCCAGAGAACCAGTGGCAGTCCCTGGTGGGTGTACGGGTGACTGGCTGGTTGTGCCGAGTGCCAAGCGGAGGTTGCCCGTTTCCTGGGGGGCGACGGTTAACCTGTGGCAGGCACACAAGGGCTGCTGGCTGGAAGCAGCCTGTCCCAGTTCCACTCCCCGTACCCCAGCCACCAGTGCAAGCTTCGAAGTCCTGGCTCCATCAAGCTGGCGGCCCCTCCCAGAAGCTCCTTCCTATTTCCTAGGAGTCTATTTGAGGCCAGCCTTCCCGACCCATGATGGATGCCAGGCCCCTCCCTTATGTCCAGGTCCTTTAGGGCGCTGCCCTCTACAGTTCGCAGTTTCCTGGTCCGAAGCCTGCGGGGATTTCCACTGTTCCGCTTTCCCGCCCCCAAGGTGCCCCGGTTTGTTACCTTCTTCCCTCCCTCCTTTTTCCACTCCCAGGCCTCTGGAGGGGAATGAAGTGGGTACAGGGGGGGGCTGAGTGGGAGCGGACTCAGCGGGGAGTCCTGAGGCTGCCTACAGCGTTACAAACCAGGCGTGAGGAACAGGATCAGAAAGAGGTTGGCACCTCATTTGGATGGAGGCAATGGGAAGGTACAGAGCATTGAGACAGGTGAGGAGCTGGAGTTTGGGGGTGCTGTTTGGAAATCAGGGGACTGTTGCGGCACTGGTGAGCTGTTTTGGAATTAGGAATCTGTACTGCTTTTAGGGAGCGGTTCTAGAAATCGGAGGCTTGCTAGCGTTTAAAGCCTATGCTGGAATTAGAAGAGTTGGCTGGTATTGTGCTATTCTGGTGTGGCTGTTCTGGAATTAAAGGGAGGCTGTGCCAACATGGGAGGCTGTGCTGTAACAAGAGGTTGTACTAGATGAGGCTTATTGTGGTGGCCTGGGGGCTATAATAATATCGAAGCCTATGCTTGTTAGGACTTTCAGTGTGTGGTCTTGGCTGTACTGGGAGCTGTCTTAGAATTAAGGGGTAGTCCTCTCTTGGGGTCTGTGCCTTCTGGGGGCGATGCTGTGCTAGGGGGCTGGGCCTCTTCTTGGTTGCTGCTGAGGGGGGCTGGAAGCTTTGGGGATGGGCCTGGCTGAGGCTGGGGCCTGGTGTGTGGGGAGGGCCCCATGAGGCAGGCTGGCCTACCAGCAGTGACAGTCTCTCTCCCTGCAGTTACCTCACCGCCGAGTCACCTTCTCCGCCACCAGCCAGGCCCAGGAGCTGCAGGACCCGTCCCAACACAGTTACTACGATAGTGGTCTGGAGGAGTCTGAGACGCCATCCAGCAAGTCATCCTCGGGGCCTCGACTAGGTCCCCTGGCTCTGCCTGAGGATCACTATGAACGTACCACCCCCGACGGCAGCATAGGAGAGATGGAGCACCCCGAGAATGGTGAGGAGCATCAGCATGGTCAGGGCATCCCAGGAATGAGCAGAAGCCAGAGAATGGCGACGAGACCTTAGAAATAGCCTCCATTTATTGAGCTCATTGTGTTTTCAGCAGTAATCACTGTGCTGAGTGCTTTCAGGTATATATTCATTTAATCTTCACAACCACTCTCTGACCTGAGAACTTTATTGCACCCACTTTACAGTGGAGGAAACTGAGGCTCAGAGAGGATGAGTCACTTACCCAACAATCAAACATAGGAAGTGATAGAGCTGGGAGGGATTCAAACCCAGGCCTCTCTGACTCCAAAGACCTTGCATTCAGCGCTATATAATCCTGCCACCCCGGAGACAGGGACTCTGAGAATGCTGGCCAGAGGGTTCAGGTAGTGGTGAGGGAAACTTGAGGGGACCTTGAGGTAATGAGGGTCCCATAACAGGGTCAGAAGTCCTTGAGAAAAGGGAGGGGACCCTGGATGCTGTGAGGATCTCAGAGAAGGGTATGATGGTCCCCTGGGGGGAGGAGCAGGAGAGAGTTTGGCTGAGAGAGGGAGTGGGGAGGTCTGGGAAAGGAAAAGACCTGTCTGGGAGGAGGTCTGGAGGGTGATGGAAGAAGGGAGGTCCTGGCCGGAGCAATGGTCAATGTGGGAGTGTGTGCTGTCACAATGTGTGAGTGTGTGGTACGTGTGTGTGTGTGTGAAGACATCTATGGCAGCCTGTGGAGGGGGAGACTGAATAAGCCTCCCCTTGGGATAGACTCCCCAGCTTGGAGTTGTCCTTGGGTCTCGCCCCCACCCTCTCCAAACTCCCCCAGCACCCCCAAAGAGGTGAAAAGCTCCACTTCCACCCCTCGAGCACAGGGCCCTTGTCTAACCTCCCAGGCCCCAGTTATCAAGAGTGCCCTTGCCCCCACCCTGCCCCTCCTTGCTGTATCTCATGCCCATCTCGTCCTTTTTGTGCCCGCGCAGAGCCGGCTGGCCGGAGCAGGCCCTGAGGCGGAGTGCCAGGTATGTGGGAGCTACTCTGGGGTCTGGGGCCTGGGGGACTTGGCCCAGCACCCAACCCCGCCCACCCAGTGCCCGTGCTCTGCTCCGTGCCACAGGGGATCCCTCAACTCTGCCCTGAGCTGAAGAGCTTTGGCGCTTTGAGGGTTGACAACAGAGCTGTCCCCTCCTCACCTTGCCCTGGCAGGAGGCAAAGCCAAGGTGGGTGGTGCCAGGGGGAGTCCCTGGCCCAGGCACTGCTGCTCAGTCAGGTCCCTGAGGGGGACACCTCCTGGTACTGTCCCTGAGTGAGGGCGGGACAGGCGCAACTGTGACAGGAAGTGCTCATGGCCCAGCTGTTCCCATGGAGACCCTGCTGCCCAGCAACCACACCGGCTACTGCTGATGTCAGGCCGCCAACTCCTTTTCCCGTGGGTGTTCTGGGCAGGGAGCCGGGGCAAGGCCAGGGGTGGTGGTTGTCCTGGGGGGCAGAGTGAGGCCGGGGGCGGGGGGCTGCATGAGTGTGCTTGTCGGTGTGTGAGTGTGTGCTTCTATGTGAACTCTTCACACAGAAGCTTGTACCCTCCCCCTGGCTTTAAAGCACGGCCTTGCTGCCCTGGAGTGGGGTGGGGGTGGGGATCCAGGACTGCTGGGAGCATGGTGAGGCTTGAGGGGTTTCAGAAATGAGGTGTGTACCTATCTTTGTCTGAGGATAGAAATGCCCGGTGTAGATTTGTGTGTCCGTACCTATCGGACGGACTGAGGGGATGGGTGTGTGTGTGTGTGTGTGTGTGTGTGTGTGTGTGTGTGTATGTGTGTGTGTGTAAGAGAGAGAGAGAAACAGAGACGGAGAGAAAGACTCCTTAAATGAGGATGTGGGTTTCCTCACCCCTATGGGAGGGTAGATTTGTGTGTCTAAGCCCATCTGGAGACAGATGGCGGAGTGTGTAGATGATTTGTGTGTTTGTGCACCTGTCTGAGGGCAGGTTTGGTGGGGGCGTGCAAGCAGAGCTAGAGGGTGGCTGCGGATGGGAGGAATGTATCTATTTAAGGATAGATTGGTGTGTGTGTGAAAGAAAGTGCACATGTGGTGGATGGTGGGAAGGTGTATGTCTACTTGATGGTGTGCCTCTGAGCTCAGTGGGCAGGAAGGGGTGTGCACCCCTGTTCTGAGGTGCCAGTGGGAAGTCACGGAGCTGAACTTTGCGAGGACATCCTGCCTGATGACTGTCCTCCCCGCTGTCTCCCTGCAGACCTGCGCCCTTTGCCTGATGTCGCCATGACGGGTACATGTACCCGGGAGTGCAGCGAGTTTGGTCACTCTGACACGTGCTGGATGCCTGGCCAGTCATCTCCCAGCCGCCGGACCAAGAGCAGCGCCCTCAAACTCTCCACCTTCGTGCCTTACCAGGACCGAGGAGGGCAGGAGCCTGTGGGCACCGGCAGCCCCAGCCCCCCAGAAGACCGGAACACCAAAACGGCCCCCGTGCGCCTCCTGCCCTCCTACAGTGCCTTCTCCCACAGTAGCCATGATTCCTGCAAGGACTCGGCCACCTTGGAGGAAATCCCCCTGACCCAGACCTCGGACTTCCCACCCGCAGCCACACCGGCAGCTGCCCAGACGGCCAAGCGTGAGATCTACCTGTGAGCCCCATTCTGGCTGGCGGCCACCCCCTCGCCCAGCTGCCAGCCAGCTCCCAGATGGGCCCATTCCAGGGCCTCCACTCCTGACCCCTCCAGCGTGGACTTCCAGGCCAGGTCCCCCAGTTGCACGGGGAGTACCTGCCTCATGACCACGCTGGCCCTTCCCCCAGGCAGGGTCCAGGTTCTCTCCCCTCACTTAAGCCCCCAGGGAGCCCCTTCTTCCCCTTTATGGGGCTCCCCCAGCTGATGCCCAAGAGGGCTCTTCTACAATGACGAGGCTCCCATCCCTCGACTTCCAGGGAGCACCCCCTCACTTTGGGCAGATGGTAGAGTCACGGGTGGGCAGCACACTTTTAACTCATTGTTTCCTGCATGGCCGACCAGAGGGAGATAGGTTGCCCCCATTCCAGCACTGAAGCAGGGTTGAACTGGGGAGCCCCTCTCTCTGGGAACACCCAGAGGAAACTCCTGACCACCAGGGGCTCCCTGAAGGGCTTTTGTTACCAAAGGTGGGGTGGGAATGCGGGTGGAAGTGGGGTGGAGGGCTTGTCTTCCCTTACTAGTCATGGGCTGGCCCACTTGCCCACCACATACCCATGCCTGTCCCATCTGGCCCCCCACTTCCCTGCTGGAGATGCAGTGTCTGTATATAAGGACCTTGGAATGATGTCCCCATTTCTGCCTGATTTGCAACTTTTCTTGTTGATGTTGTGTTGTCTTGGGGGACCCCTCTGGGGGGGGACCTGACCTGTGCCCCCTCCTCCCTGCTGCAGTGCCCCCCACCCCAGGCCTCTATTGTTCCATGTTGTAAATACCCCTGGGGCCGTGGCGGGATGGGGGTGCAGGCCAGGCAAACAATGGGTGGGTGGGGGTGGGGATGGGGGAAACATTCGCCTATCAGCAGAGCTGGGCTTTTATTTAATTTTTTTTTTTAAATACAAATCTCTATTTTTTTGGAACTGTTGCGCTGTGCCCTGGGGGGGGATCCCCGCTCAGGCTGGCCCCCCACATCCAGATGAGCATCACATAGGGGCCCTGAGGCTGTGGGGGCAGCTAGACAGGGGTGGGATGACTGTGCCTCTGGCCTGGTTGGGTGAGTTGGGAGCAGGAAGGTTTGCTAAGGGGGTGGCCCATTGCTGCCCCCAATAGGGGGGACCTGCATCCTGCTTCCTCCCTGCCCCCTACCCCCCAGCCCCTGCCATGACTGACCCGTCAGCCTGTAAAACCACCATTGCCTTGATCTCAGGGGGTGGAAGGGCTGCCTCAGGGCACCCTGGGCTCCTGGCCCCCTTCTTCCAGTTGGGCTTCCCTTTGCCAGGGTCAGGGGTCCCGTGGGGGAATGGGTGGGGAGATTGGGGGGCAGAGAAGCCCAGTCAGCCATGATGAGGTGGGATTCCTTTCTTCACCTCAGGGGGCCAGGGTGTGAGGGGCATCCTGTAGCGCTCCCATCTCCCTCTGTGGCCATCTCAAAGCCTCAGTCCTCTTCCTTCCAGAAACCCCCACTGCCTTGGCCCATACCTCTCCAGCTCCCCAGGGGCCCAGGCTGGGAGGCTGGAGACTCAGGGTATGGCCCTTGCTTGACTTAGTCAAAGCTTGGGAGGCGGCCCAAGGGTGGGAGGGGTGGGTACAGGCTGCTGGGTTGTCTGGTGCCTTTGGGAGCTGTTGCTGGGGTCTTGACTCCTGTAACCCCAGATACCCCACCTCTACCCTGGAAAAGCCAAGGGGCTAAAGAATCACCCTATTCTCTGCTCCTTGCCCCTAACTTGGCTTGGAGTAACAGTGCTGGAAAGGAGAGCATTGTTAGGCTGGTGGCCCCAGCAAACACAGCCCTTCTGTGGAGGGCAGGGGATAGAGTGGGCTGGGGTGGCAGCAACCAGGTCTAGGGGTTGGCCAAAGGCTCCTTTCCCTGGGGGAGGCCCAGGAAGTGGGCTGGGGCTTGTTAAAGAGACAGCCCCTTCCCCCTGCACAAACGGGGCAGGTGCAATAGTGATGGAGTTAGTAACGTGAGGTGCCCAGCTGGTGGGGCAGTGGCCTCGAGGATGTCCTGGGTCCTGGAAGTCAGGATTCTGGCAAGATTGTATGAGGCCCATTTGCTTGGTGGAGAGGGTAGTCCAGACAGGAGGCATTCCTGGGGTTAGTGGACCCCCCTTCCCAGAAGCCCCTGGTGACCTGGGCATCTTGCTTTGGTCTTGGAGACCCCTGAGCACTGGGTGGAAGGGCAGAGAAGCATTTTGCACAATGGAAAAGCCAGAAGGAAGGGGTAGCCCAGATGGCTGGGAGGGCTGAGAAGCACAGAGGAGGAGCCCTTCCCACAGGCCAAGGCAGAGTCCCTAGCCCCCTGGTTGGGGTTGGGGTGCTGAATCTGTCACCACCTGGGCACTCGAGAGGTGAAACCAAAGGTGGGCAGGGGATGGGTGACAGCATTGGGGACCACTCCTTTTGGTCCTAGGTCTGTGAAGCCCTTCCCCAATGCCTTGTGTCGCGTACAGTTTTATGTACAAATAGGCGACATTTGGCCAGAGGAGACCCCCCCCCTCAACCCAGCCTGACCCAGTCAGTGTCTTCCTAGAGGGGACCTAGTTGGTCCCCACCCCCCTACTTCAGAGCATATATCTTGGTAGGGGGAGGGTATATGGGGACATATTTCTCTCCTAGGGTCCCTGAAGTGTGTCTCACACCCGGGGGGAGGGTCTCTGAAGCATCCCTAACCTCTGGGGGCTCCCTAGCCCCTATCTCTTCCCTTGGGAGTCTCTGGGGAGACATGTATTCCCGCTGGGGACCATGGGAGCATGTCTCCTCCCTACCCAGGCTCTCTGGGGAGCCTGTTTTCCTCCCAGGGTTCCTGGGAGTACTTAAGGCATGTCAGTCTCGGGCCATCTCTCTTCCCAGGGAAGGGGGCGATCTCTGAAGCATGTCTGGGAAGGGTTGTTTCTGGCCTTCCCTGCATCTCTGCCCTGGGGGTCTCTGACCTGTAGCACTTTGGGAAGAGACTGGGCAGCTCTGAGTTGTCTTTTCTCCTAGGGTTCTGGAGTACCTCTCTTTCCTGAGGGCCCGGCCTCTGGAGCCATTTCTTCCCTGGGTGGGGGCTGTCTCCTGGTGGTGGGAGGGCTTGTGTTGGCCATGAGAAAGTCTCCAAGCGGGACTTCTCTGGGAGGGGGGACTGTGTCTCGCCCATGGGGTTCCCCGGCGGGTGTCTGCCCCTGGGGAGAGGGAGACTGTGTCTCCTCGGGTTATCTGAGTGGGGAGGGGGGCCGTGTCTCTCTCGTGTGCTGGG